TTTTCCTTTGTGATACACGTAACACATATTAGTGTCTTTGATACCAACATTTTTTTTGTTGGTGTATAATTTTTGGCTTGTACTTTCTCAACTCATCATCTGTAATCTATGGAATTCACCTCCTTGTTTTCTTGCGTTTATATCGGAGTATACTCTAGGGTGCTTTTCAAAATTAGAATAAAGTAAAAATGAAGACAATGTCTTTGGCAGTTTGGATTATCGATTGATGGATTATTATACGCAGCGGAAGCAATCCCAGTATCAAAATCATGTGTAATCTAGACAACTAGTATAAACGGGATTTAACAGGTTACTTCTTGAAGCGCGAACAAAACTTCTCTATCACATGAGCCTCCAATTCCACAGCAACTCAATGCAATCTCAACCACACGCACGATCACGATCTCAGAACATTCCACGATCTTCTACTGTGTTACCCAAATAATATCCGAAAATAGTAATTTCGTGTGGGCGAAATTTTTCTAGGAAAAAGGGGCTGAAATTCGGCCACCATCTGCTCATCCCTCTAGGTGGAAAACCTTATGTAGTTATAGCTCAAGTTTTAAGGGTTAAAACCCTTTCTCAAAACCTGTTGGGTTTTCTTTTCCACCAGAAAAAGTGATTCCTTTATTTTCTACTATTTAGGCACAGTAGGGACCACATAATTTAATTAACAAGACTCCAATTGTGGAATTAATTTCTAATTTTTGAAATTAATATCTACCATAATCAATTACGAATTATTCCACTAAAAATTCGTAATTGCACTCCTTATTCAATTTTAAAATTCATCCATTAAATCTTATTTAACCCCCCATGTTAAGATTCAGACACTAATCAATTAAATTAAATTACTGACGATTTAATTTATTGATTATTTTCTTTAGACTTTCGCTTAACTTATTTCATGTGTCAGATACAAAAGTCACCGGCCGAGTTTACACATGAAAAACTTATAAGCTTTCATAAAGGTGTATCATCAATCTCTAAACCGAGACATGGATTCCATCAACTAACTATTACTTCGCCAATGTACATTATTATTATCCGATTTACCAGGCATATTGACCCACGAAAGAATCTCTCCTTTTAATAAATTAAAACAATAATAATATACACAACTAATAATAATTATATCAAGATTAAGAGTATAAGTACATTTAATGGCTAGAGAGTTTATTTTATTAAGTCAGTATAAAATACTTATCTCTACTTGGTCCATTCAATACATACAAAATGTACTAGCACTAGAAGTTGGAATTAAACCATTCCCATAATCAAAACAAATTATATTTAATCTTGTGCTATAATCATTCCTGATGGTTTGTCCAATTCCATCATTAGATTGTGAACTCAAACTTTATATTTATAAGAACCGATGATCTAATCTTCCGTGTATAAGCTAAACTCTATACACTAAATCATCTACTATATAAGCAAAGGACAAAGACTAATATATGATATATTTAAAACTTTATTAAAATTGAATAAACAATTATTCCATAATAAATACTATATCTAAACCAAATCCATGGTTAATAGTATATATCCCAACAATCTCCCACTTACTTTTAACCATGACAATTATTAAAATATATTATATCCAAATGCATGGTTAATAGTATATGCCCTAACAATCTCCCACTTAGACGTATAACCATGCATCTACAACTTTCTAGGCATTCTTTTACATGACTATTAAAAATCTTCACCAAATAAGGTTTTGTTAAAGAATCTTGCCAAGTTATTTCTGATGCAATATTTGTCCAGTAGTGCTTTTGGTAACCATCTAGTTTGCTATTAAACTCTTCAGGGATCCTGTTACTCAAACTATCCCAAGAGTGTACACCGAACTATGATTTTCTTTAGCATTCTCCCACTACGACTTAGTACTACTAATATTACCTTCATTATCTTACGACATTGAAATATTAGTGACTTCTTACTGTAGTGTTCACTGTTCAAACATCACTCCCACTCGATAAAGGCATATTATGTCTATTAACGTTCTCCCACTACTTAAATGCAATGGAACATCAATTCTGACTTGTGGGTTTTTGTAACGACCCGATTGGTCGTTTTTCTTTCTAGAACCCCGTTTCCCTAAATAAGACATCCCGTACTTGCTTTTATTGATTTATGACTTGCGGGGATGGTTGGTTTGGGATTTGGAAGAGTTTGGGTTGAAACCGGGACACTTGGTTCCTTAAGGTTGGCTTAAAAGGCCAAGATTGACTTCGGTCAACATTTTGAGTGAACGACCTCTGAATCGAGATTTGAAGGTTCCAACAAGTTCATATGATAATTTCGGACTTGGGCGTATGTCCAGATCGGGTTTTGGATGACCCGGGAGCGTTTAGCGCCTAATAGTGAAAGTTAATTCCTTAAGGATTTTGAAGTTCCTAAATATTTGGTTTGGAGCAGGTTATTGCGTTATCGAGGTCCAAATGAAATTCCGAGACTGGGAATAGTTACGTATTTTTATTTAAGACTTGCACGCAAAATTTGGTATCAATCCGAGTAGTATAAGTGTGTTTCATCGCATTGGATGCGAATTGAAGAAATTGAAGCTCATAAGTTTGATTCAATTGGTTTTAGGGGGTGATTCTTAGATTTACCATTGTTTCGGGCGTTCCGAGGGTTTGAGCAAGTCCGTTTCATGATTTGAAACTTGCCGGTATGTTCGGGCGGGGCCCCGAGCGTTAGTCGGACGAGGCTCGAGTTGAGTAAGGAAATATTGGAAAGAGCTGAAGCTCCAGGTTGCTGTCATAACTGCACCTGCGGTTGGCCAGCCGCAGGTGCGAAACCATAGAAGCGGTCAACCCTTCGCAGGTGCGGCCCTAGAGGAGGAGCTAGGAACCGCAAACGCGGCTCTCTTCTGCAGCGGAACCGCAGAAGCGTCCCCTAGAACGCGTAGCTACTATTATGCTAATTGTCCGGGTAGTTTAGGGCCTGTATCATGCCACACATGTAAATGCTTACGTTCTTGCTTGCTACTGAGATCACTTAGGACATGTTAGGGATTGAAAATAAATATAAACAAATGTACACACTTACTTGAGAACTTGTATGGAATTATTTGACTATAAATGCGCCCTTATGTGCCTTCTTGATAATAATTGCTATTTGTGGATCGGTCCGATCGCCTCGGTAGAAATAGATGCATCTATGGTTTGCGCCATTCGACCCTCTGGCAGTGCACAGTTATTATTATGTTGGACCATGCCGTCCGACCTCGGCATAATTTGCGCATGTTATTTATGTGGAATTCACCCATGATTTACTCTGTTTAAATGCCTTGAAATGTGAGTTAATATATATATATATATATATATATATATATATATATATATATATTTTTGTCACTAATTTTTTTTACATATTTTAGTTCTTTAAGTCCAAAAGAACCACATTTTGGTTCGAACTCAAGCTTTCAACGCTTATAATTACCTCTCAACATTGTAGGGACATTGGACGACAATACATATATGAAATATAGATGCCACTGCTTAATTTTTACCTTTAAAAGATAGTGCAATATTGCTACAGATACACAACTCATAGTAATGACACCATTCTTATTGCCACTGCATCAGTTCTCCAATTCAACCAAATAATGGTTAAAAGTGGTTGGATAAAGTGTTAGGCACTCTTCGAGGTCTACAATTATGGGTCTCGGCAATTCTAAATTATGTGAATTATGTAATTAGGTTAGGTGATCAAATAAACAAAGAAAAACATAGAAGTCGAAGAGTCTTATCATAACACATAATAATCAGTACAAATCTTTAATGATTACAAGTGTAGAACTGTGTTGGTCTACATTAAATGACTAGGTGTAAACAGCAAGCATATAAATAAAGGGAGGGAGTCCTAAGTTTTTTTAGCCTAAAGGATCACCCTGTGCATCATAAATAATACTTGCCAACTCACTTAAAGTAAGGGGTGCTCATAATTAATATTCAGCAGCACAGACTATCATCTCCTGCTACCCAGTTATTATGTTGAAGTTGTTACTTAAAGGCACTCTACAATTCCAAACTGTATCCTATGTGTGTACTACACGTCCTATACCTATGGTCCAGGAGGCTTTGGACCTCTATTTGGGTGGTTCTAGACTTTACCTAGGTTGCTCAAAGTGATAAAACTAATCGCGCATTAAAAACAAGTAGGACTGCCGGGGGGGGGGGGGTTCTTTTCTGTCTTTTTTCTTTGGGAAGATGAGGAGAGGGGGTGGACAGAGGTTTTCTTTTTCAGTTTTTTTTTTCTCGAATTATGACACCTGTTAGATGCTGATTGGCGCGTGCAATAACAATCTTTAAGTAGATGTGGTCAAACACCGAAGTGGTGTGTAATTGACACACCTTTAAAAGTTTTAGTGTGTAATATTATTCCCGCATTTAACAGGTGTGTAAGGGAAATTTGGGCACAAAGTCGATGGATAAAGTATGTATTTTGCCTAAAATAAACTCCACAAAGATCATTGTATGGATTAGGCATTTGTGAATATTTAGTGAAAGTACATGAATGATGTTATTTGTCCATGTCTTTTAATGAAGTGAACAATATGTATTAATTGAGTTAGTTATAATTGTTGGATGACATAATTCTCATGACAACTCAAGAAGAGCTCTAGACAAAACTTTGTCTCGGACTTGAACATTTAACAAGCATGTTTGTATTTACCAACAATATCTATTTATACCTAAAAGGTTCTGAGCCTAATAGACAATTCGTTTTGTTTTCTTTTACTATATGTTTCCCCTTTTTTGCACACCTTTGAGAAGAACTTATTAGCGTTTTCCCTCAAATTCCTAGCTTTAGGCTGGCTGAATACAGTTTTGGGTCACGACTCAAGAATACTACTCTTGCATATCATAAGGAAAAATTGTTACTGAAAAAAGACTATATATTTGAATAGAAAGAAAAACAGTACTACTATGGAAAAATAACACCCAAAAATAACATTTAAAAAAAAGAAGAAAACAAATACTATAAAGACAGAAAACAGTAAAACTTAAAACTATACAGATGAACTGTTTTGCCAATCCTATCCTATACTCTAGACTATCTCCTTTGAGGGCTTTGTTCCATTGTCTCGTGGCTTTGATTCTGCATGGTCATCATCCACGAACTTCTTCCAGTACCAATGCTCTCTCCAAACTTGAGACATCTCTTCAATTGGTATATTCTTTGTTTCCGGCACGTACAAGTAGACAAACACAGTCATTATTAAGACAAACGCCGCAAAGAAGATAAATAGACCAAACTTCATCCCACATAGCATCTTCAAGAATATTTGTGCTACTCCAAATGTGAAAAACATGTTCATGGAGACCGTAACACATTGTGCTGCTGATCGAACTTCCAATGGAGATATCTCACTCGGAACCAACCATCCTAATGGACCCCATGAATACGCAAAGTTAGCCACGAATACACAGATGCAGACAACCACTAAAGCTGCAAACCAAAGTGGCAAATCTGTTGCAGTCCCTGTCGTTCCGAATTTTGCCCCAATAAGAGCTGCCACTGCTGTTTGGAATATACACATGAAGATGCCACCCCAGAAGAAGAGTATTCTCCTGCCAAATTTATCCGTACAAAAGACTGAAATAAAAGTTGCACCCACGTTGACACCGCCGGTGATAGCAGCTGACATAAGCGAAGCGTTACTCTTGAACCCTAATGTTTGGAAANCAAGGAACCTCGGACGGCACCTCAATTGCACGAACTCAGATGGACCTCAAACTCCATCCCCAAAGACCTCCCAACCATTGATTCTCTGTCCAGAAACCTCTCTTTCTCGTCTCTCTATCTCTGTTTTTGATTTCCTTTTCAACCTCAATTTCTTTGTACTGTGATGCAATTACTACTGGAACCAAAGGAATTTGCAGTAAAGAAGGTCTAAGGTTTGATTTCATAAATTGGTTTCTTTGTGCTTTTCGTTCCTTCCCTAATTATTTCATTTTTTCTTTGCCGTTTTCTTAGCTTTTGTTTCTCGTCCTTCTCTTTTTGAGTTGACTCAGAAGATATGAAGGCTGTGTGTATGTGTTGAGACAGCATCTGTGGTTTATTTTCGTTGGATAAGATGAAGCTAGGGGTCTATTGTGTATCCCCAATTCTCACAAACGGCTCCCTTTGATTTTTAGGAGTCTAGGGTCTTATAGGTATAGAGTCTAGGTTTACATTTGTGTATTTTGCCAATTAGTCCCTAGGTCTTTTACGTATTAGGTCCTCATGGTCTTTTTACTTGTTTTAGTTCCAAAGAAGAGTCTATAAGGGTCCCTAAGCTTAATTGACTAATCCGAATTAGGCCAAGAATTGAGCTCTAAAACTCTTAAAATTGTAATACAACACCTTAATTGACTCATTTTAAAATAAGATAAAAATACTACACAATGCCAAAGATAATCCTAATTAATTAAATCAAACATGAAACTATTTTTTGTGTTTTCGAAATTATATAGAGATAAAAACAACGTACTATTTTTGTATTTTTAAAAAAATTATGAAAAAATATTATAAACTAAAAAATATTTTTTTTAGAAATTTTTTCCAATTNTTAAATATTTACATGCTAAAATATAAAAAATCTTGGGGAGGGTCAAAATCCACATGTCTACATGTATCGTGACCTGAGGCAGCATTATTGGTGGTGGCGATTGAAGAAAGACATTGTTGAGTACGTGGCTAGGTGCTTGAATTGCCAGCAGGTTAAGTATGATTACCGCAGGCTAGGTGGCCTACTTCAGTAGATGCCTATACCTGAGTGAAAATGGGAGCGCATTACTATGGACTTCGTAGTTAGGTTGCCACGGACATTGCGGAAGTTTGACGTAGTTTGGGTCATTGTCGATAGATTGACCAAATCGACACACTTCATTCCGGTGGTGACTACTTATACTTCAGAGAGGTTGGCTAAGATCTACATTCGGGAGATAGTTCGATTGCACGGTGTGCCTGTTTCCATTATATCAGACAGAGGCTCTCAGTTAACTTTCCATTTCTGGAGAGCCGTTCAGAGTGAGTTGGGGAACCGTGTGGAGCTCAGCACATCATTTCACCCGCAGACCGACGGGCAGTGGGAGTAGACTGTTCAGATTTTGGAGGACATGCTCAGGGCATATGTGATTGACTTTGGAGGGCAGTGGGATCAGTTCTTGCCTTTGGTGGAGTTTGCTCACAACAACAGTTATCAGTCCAGCATCGAGATGGCTCCATTTGAGGCTTTATACGGTCGACGACGTCGTTCTCCTATCGGGTGGTTCAAGCCTAGTGAGGCTAAGTTGTATGGTGCACACTTAGTCAAAGATGCGCTGGGAAAGGTAAAGTTGATTCAGGAAAGGTTTCACACGGCACAGTCCAGACAGAAGAGTTACGTAGAAGGCGCGTGATGTATCATTCATGGTCGGCGAGAAGGTTCTCTTGAAAGTCTTGCCGATGAAGGATATTATGAGATTCGGGAAGAAGGGCAAGTTGAGCCCAAGGTTTATAGGCCATTCGAGGTGTTGAGGCGAGTTGGGGAGATTGCTTATGAGCTTGCTTTACCTCCCAGCCTATCAGAATTTCATCCAATTTTTCACGTGTCTATGTTTCAAAGGTATCACGCCGACTTGTCTCATGTGTTAGACTTCAGTACTATTCAGCTGGATAAGAGCTTGGGTTACGAGGAGGAGCCAATTGCCATTGTTGATAGACAGGATTGCCAGTTGAGATCCAAGAGCATTTCTGCGGTGAAGGTCCAGTGGAGGGGCCAACCAGTCGAGGAGGCGACTTGGGAGTCCGAGGAGGATATGCGGAGTAGATATCCACACTTATTCAGCACTTCAGGTATGAATCTAAACCCGTTCAAGGACAAACGTTTGTTTAAGAGGTGGAGAATTAATGACCCGACTGGTCGTTTTGCTTTTTAGAACCCCGTTCCCCTAAATAAGACATCCCATACTTGCTTTTACTGATTTATGACTTGCGGGGATGGTTGGTTCGGGATTTGGAAGAGTTTGGGTTGAAATCGGATACTTGGTTCCTTAAGGTTGGCTTAAAAGGCCAAGTTTGACTTCGGTCAACATTTTGAGTGAACGACCTCAGAATCGAGATTTGAAGGTTCCAACGGGTTCGTATGATGATTTCGGACTTGGGCGTATGTCTGGATCGGATTTTGGATGACCCGGGAGCGTTTACGCCTAATATTGAAAGTTGATTCCTTAAGGATTTTGAAGTTCTTAAATGTTTGGTTTTATCGAGGTCCGAACGGAATTTCGAGACCGGAAATAGTTCCGTATTGTCATTTAAGACTTGCACACAAAATTTGGTATCAATCCGAGTAGTATAAGTGTGTTTCATCGCATTGGATGCGAATTGAAGAACTTGAAGTTCATAAGTTTGATTCAATTGGTTTTAGGGGGTGATACTTAGATTAACATTGTTTCAGGCGTTCCGAGGGTTCGAGCGAGTCAGTTTCATGATTTCAAAATTCCAAGTATGTTCGGGTGGGGCCCCAGGGCCCCTGAGCGTCAATCGGACGAGGCTCGAGTTGAGTTAGGAAAATTGGAAAGAGCTGAAGCTCCAGGTTGCTGTCATAACTGCACCTATGGTTGGCCAGCCGCAGGTGCAAGACCGCAAAAACGGCCAACCCTTCGGAGGTGCGGCCTAAGGAGAGGAGCCAAGAACCGCAGATGCGGCTCCTCTTCCGCAGAAGCAAAACCGTAGAAGCGGAACCGCAGAAGCGTCCCCTGGACCGCAGATGCGGTCCCAATCAAGCCGGTCCAGTTCCGCAGATGCGGACCTTCCCTCCCAGAAGCGAGGCTGCAGATGCGGTCCCCTAACCGCAGGTGCGGAAATCGCTGAAGGCAGTGCCTTCATTTAATACGGGAATGTGTCATTTTTGACACATTTCATTCATTGTTTGGACGATTTGGAAGCTTCCAAAGAGGGAATTTCAACCTAGCAATTGTGAGGTAAGCTACTCCTACTAATGTGAGTTTCATACTTGGTTTTTGGGTAGATTAACACCTAAAGATTAGTAAAAATCATGGGATTAGAGTAAAACCTAGGATTTTTATAAAAACAAGATTTTACCACGAAATTTGTTATGGAATGAGGTAAAAATCATATAATCTTGATCCTTCGGTTATGGGTAACAACTTCCCTCGAGAATTTCCGGAATCCGGGCACGTGGGCCCGGGGATGGATTTTAGGAAACTTGTATTTAGGGTTAAGAAATTACTTTAATAATTAGAATATGAACTCTTGAGCTTGTATTGACTAGTTCTTACCCCGTTTGATTAGTTTTGGATCGTTCGGCTCCGATTTGAGGGTTTGAGCGCGTTCTTGATATTGGAAGTAAGCTTTGGAGCAAGGTGAGTCTCCTTTCTAACCTCGTAAGAGGGAAATAAACCCCTAGGTGAATTAAATAAATGTATTTGATTGTCTGTGTGGGCTACGTACGTACGTGGTGACGAGAGTCTGTGCGTAGCTACTACTATGCTAATTGTCTGGGTAGTTTAGTGCCCGTATCATGCCATACTTGTAAATGCTTACGTTCTTGCTTGCTACTGAGATCACTTAGGACATGTTAGGGATTGAAAATAAATATAAACGAATGTACGCACTTACTTGAGAACTTGAATGGAATTATCTGACTATAAATGCACCCTTAAGTGCCTTCTTGATAATAAATTGCTATTTGTGGATCGGGCCGATCGCCTCGGTAGAAATAGATGCATCTATGGTTCGCGCCATTCGACCCTCTGGCAGTGCACAATTATTATTATGTTGGACCCGGCCGTATGACCTCGGCATAATGTGTGCATGTTATTTATGTGGAATTCACCCATGATTTACTCTGTTTAAATGCCTTGAAATGTGAGTTAATATATGATGTGACTGAATCTGATATATATATATTGTTGCTCCTTGTTCTGAGTATGTCATTATATACATGCCATTCATCCTTACATATTATTGATATTGACCTTAGTAAGTGTCAAGTCGACCCCTCGTCACTACTTCTTCGAGATTAGACCGGATACTTGCTGGGTACATGTTGTTTATGTACACATACTACGCTTCTGTACTTAACTGTACAAGATCTGAGGCAGGTGCATCTAGTTACCCCTCTGGTGCGCGTTCCTGATTCCTGGTTAGGATCTCATGGTGAGCTGCCCCTTCTGAGACGTTCAGCAGCATTACCGGAGCTTCTCTTCTTTTATTGTTATTATGTACTGTTTATCCTGTTTCAGGCAGTAGGATAGTGTTATTCTTTTTGTACATTGTAGTAGTTGCCCTAGTACTTGTGACACTAGTTCCTTGCACACACTATAGACTATATTATTTTTTGGGATGTAACCATATTATTACGAACTTGTTAATTAATGACTATTTGAAAAAATGTTGAGATTGTTTTTGGTAAATTAATAAGAACTCATTAGATAAATTAGGGTTGGCTTGCCTGGCAACGGTGCCGGGCGCCATCACGACCTATGATGGAATTTGGGTCGAGACAATTTTGATGTTTTTGAACGTCAATTGCCTTATTTTCTTTAGGACAATGAAATAAAACTCCATTCTTTTTATTGGATATTCAATAAACATGCACCTATGTATTCTTAGTTCCAACTTACATATCTGCTTTCTCTTTCTGCACATATGCAGGACAATCGTATATCTGACCGTGCCACGGACTGAGCTTACATTCAGTCCACAGTTCTATAAATGTCCCAGGTACTAACTTAAAAGGAACTAATTTCATAATGTAATTTACAGTTTCTAGGAAATATTCCAAAAACAAATAAGGCAATCTGAATAACACGTCATTAATCTATCTATGTCAAAAAGAGACTTATTTTTTTTTCTACCACACCACTCTATTATGGAGTTTACGGTGTAGTCAACTGAGATGTAATCCCTAGTTCTGATAAGTAACAAAAGAACTCTTTAGAGAGGTGCTCGCTACTACAATCTAATTGCAGTAACTTAATATATTTTCTTGGTGCTTCTCAGTTTCAAGTCTTAAAAACCTTAAATTGCTTAAATTATTAAAACATACGGTGCATCAAATAAATATATTAATATTTTGTGTAATCATTTATGAATGTCAAAAAACACTCAAAACTATCTCTTACGAGTATGTTCATTTAACCATACAAATCAGAAGGGATTTATTCTAGCTTATCACTAGCTTTATTTCCTTTTGAAGGGAAACATCCTTTAGTCAAATTTCCTTCCAATCAGGATTCACAAGTTGGTAGTGCCTCTACTTTCAATGAACATTAAGGTCCATCCTTGACCAACTTGAAATCCTATCCAGATTAATATGACTTAGACAAAAAGTGCACAGATAAGTTTTACTCAATTTCGAAGAACATATTCTCTTATGAGGTAGACTAATATTGTTCTATTTAGGAGAGACATTAATATACAATAACAAGGTCATGTATTCATGTACCACAAGAGATAAAATGTTAATCAATCTCAATAACTTAAGAGTTATTCAAAAAATAAAATAATTATCCATCTCTTATTTTGCCCAGAAACCGGAATTAAATTTCTTCTAACTAAAAGTACATATATTGCATCCTTTCAATTAATGTCTTATCACTAAAAGAAATTTTAACAAGTAATACGACAAATTGCATAAAGTCATTGTGGAGTTGAGATAAAAATATTAAATAGATCATAATAAGTCAAAACACTGAATAGTAAAATTCAAACCGCATTCAATATTTATATACATACATGCATCTCGAATAATAAATTTCGATGGGAAAAGAATCATTCATGCGAAGTATATTATATAATGCAAGAATTACACAATCCAAAAATAAATAGAACCAACTCATATGGAGAGTATACTATTATTTTCAGTCAATTGTATAAAATATTTTAATACAAAAATTTTAAACACACTACACATATATGTAAGCATCTTGCATAGTAATTTCAATGGGAAAAGAAATACTCATGCAACATACATATGTAATGCCAGATTATTCACTCCAATAATTAAAACAGACCCAACTCAGATAGAGAGCATACTGTTAATTTAAGTCAAGTGAACATCATAATTAATAGCTCTAGTTCCATTGATCCAACATGTACACTCAGATGGAGTAAGTACACGATATCAATTACTAGTATTTCACCAAGTGAACTTACAATAAATTTATCCGTGTCACGACCCCGGTTCGCCCTCCGTGAACCATCATGATGGCACCTAGTCTCTACGACTAGGTAAGCCTAACAAATGCGGAAAAATAAACGAAACTTGCGGAAGAAATAATCAAAACCAAAATAACTGAATGGAAACAATAGTTATAATGCCGCTTGGCATATACAACGCAACATTCTCAAACCAAGTACACTATCCCAAAACCCGAAAACTCACGGGAAGACAAGCCTTTGGAATATCTAACAGTCTAACTCCAGAATATCTAACAAGAAAGAAAATACAGAAGGGCAACGTTTAACAGCTAGAATAGAAAGGGACTCCTCGGTCTGCGGACGCGGAAGATGTACCTCAAAGTCTCTAGAGCAGATGCCTCCCTCAAGGATGGTAGGCCTGAGTAGCGGTACCTGGATTTGCACATGAAAAACATGCGCAGAAAGGGCATGAATACACCACATCGGTACTCAGTAAGTGCCAAGCCTAACCTCAGTAGGCTAGGGCCCTACTGAGGTTAAATAAAGGATATAATTTGACAGTATAGAACAGAAAGCAGTATAAGTATGTACAACAGCAAAGGTAACACAGATATTGAGAACAACAACAACTACACGGGAACAATGTAAACACCGAAGGAGAATACAACTCAAACTCCAATAATATCAACCGGGGATCTTACAGGATACCGTCTGAAGTCCCAAATACACATATCCAATAAGTCTCTCGGGATACCATCCCTTAATCCAGCTCATTGTATACGGGAATCTACCGAAAACCCGTTCCGTAGTCCCAAATATAAATACCCAGTACTGGGGGAATCTACCGGGTGCATTCCCGTAGTTCCATATAACTGTGCAGGGGGATCTACCGGAATCCCACATCCGTAGTCCGAAATGTAAACAGACAAGGGGGGAGCTACCGGAATCCCACATCCATAGTCCCAATGTAAATACACAACAACAACAGGAGAAATGCTCAGAAAATATCTAACTTCATATTAAGGCAAACAAATAGTCTAGCCTAGCATGCTGCACAGACAGCAGGTAAAGCAGTTAAACAAATAAAGCAATTTAATCACTTAGGCATGCTTTTACTAAGCTAACACATGCTTAAATAGTACAAGAACTAAACAGGAAAGTAAACATACTAGTAGTACTTAATGAAAGCCGGATTTCCAACAATTAGCACAAGTACGCACTCGTCCCTTTACGTACAAGGCATTTTAATTATCAAATATACCAAATCCTAAGGGAATAGTCTCCCACACAAGGTTAGGCAAGCCACTTACCTCGAACAAGCTCAAATCAACCCGAAACCACGCTCTTGCCACGAGTACTCGACTCCAAATGACCCAAATCTATTCAATTCAATTGCATATTGTAAATAACACTTCAAGTAACTGATTCTACAATTAAATTCTAAGCTAATACGTGAAATTAGGTAAAATGACCAAAACGCCCTCAGGCCCACGTCTCGGAATCGGGTAAAATTTATATTTCTAGAATCCTCACACTCTCACGAGTCTAACCATATAAAAATTATCCAAATCTAATGTCAATTCCCCAATCAAAACTCAATTTCTTGGCCTAAGAACTTTCCCCCAATTTTCATACAAATCCCGAAAATAAATGATGAATTCTTGTTTAGATTAATGTGTTATAAGCAAAAAGGACTTTAGAATCGTTACCCAATCGATACCTCTGAAAATCCTTCAAAATCTCGCTCAAATTCAAGCTCCCAAGCTTAAGTTTTGAATAAAAATGGCTAACCCTAGATTTTGAAATCTTATATTCTGCCCAGGTATTCCTTCTTCGCGAACGCGGTCAAAGCCTTGCGTTCGCGAAGCACAAAATTAACTTTGACCAAAAACCTCTTACGCGAACACGACAAGGCCCTCCCGAACATGATGCTTTACCCAGACGAACCTTCGCGAACGTGTTCCGTCCATCGCGAACGCGATGAGTTAATTCTACTGAAGCCCAGCCTCTCGATTCCTTCTATGCGAACGCGATGCACCAAATCCTTAGCCCTTCGCAAACGCGGAGCTCCCATCGCGAATGCGAAGGCTTAACCTTTGCCTTCCTCAACTGACTCTTTGCGAACGCGAGAGTCCACTCGTGAATGCGAAGGGTAAAATTCCTCTGCAACAGCTGAACAAAATCTGCAACTTTTTTACAACTTAAAATGATCCGTTGAGCATCCGAAACACACCCGAGGCCCCCGGGACCTCAACCAAAGGAATCAACATATCCTAAAGCCTTATTCAAACTTGTACCAATCTTCAAAACACCTCAAACGACATCAAATCAACCAAAACACATCGGATTCAAGCCTAAGTTTCCAAAATCTTCCGAATTCCGCTTTTGATCAAAAACCCAATCAAACCGCATCCGAATGACCTGAAATTTTGCACACACATCCCAAATGACATAACGCAACTACTGTAACTCTCGGAATTCCATTCTGACCCTCGTATCAAAATCTCACTATCGAACCAGAAACTTCAAAAATTCAACTTTCGGCATTTCAAGCCTAAATTAGCTACGGACCTCCAAAACTCAATCCAAACACGCCCCTAAGCCCAAAATCACCTAACGGAGCTAACGGAACCATTAGATTTCCATTCCGAGGCCGTCTTCACACTGTTCTGACTACGGTCAACTTTCCAACACTTAAACTCTCACTTAAGGACTAAGTGTCCCAAAACTCTCCGAAACTTAAAACCGAACATCCCGACAAACCAAAATAGCAGAAATAAACACGTGGAAAGCAGTTAATAGGGGATCGGGGCGTTAATTTTTAAGACGACCTGCCGGGTCGTCACATCCTCCTACATTTAAACATTCGTTCGTCCTCGAACGAGCATAGAGACATACCTGAAGTGGTGAAAAGATGAGGGTAACGGCTGCGCATATCCTGCTCGGTCTCCTAGGTCGCCTCCTCGACCGGCTGACCCCGCCAGTGAACCTTCACTGATACAATGTTCTTTGACCTTAGATTTCTAACCTGCCTGTCCAATATTGCCACTGGCTCCTCAACATAGGATAGGTCCTTGTCCAGCTGGACTGAACTGAAATCCAACACGTGCGATGGATCACTGTGATACCTCCGGAGCATCGAAACATGAAATACCTGATGGACTCCTACCAAGCTGGGAGGTAAGGCAAGCTCATAAGCAACCTCCCCAACACGCCTCAATATCTCAAAATGGCCAATAAACCTCGGACTCAACTTCCCTTTCTTCCCAAATCTCATAACGCCTTTCATAGGCGAAACCCAAAGCAGAACCCGCTCTCCAACCATATAGGAAACATCACGAAACTTCAGGTACGCATAGCTCTTCTGTCTGGACTGGGCTGTACGGAGTCTATCCTGAATTACCTTAACCTTCTCCAAAGCATCCTGAACCAAGTCTGTGCCCAATAACCTAGCCTTACCCGGCTCGAACCAACCCACCTGAGATCTACACTGCCTACCATATAAAGCCTCATACGGTGCCATCGGAATGCTGGACTGATAATTGTTGTTGTAAGCAAACTCTGCCAATGGCAAGAACTGATCCCAAGACCCTCCAAACTCGATCACACACACACACAGAGCATATCCTCAAGAATCTGAATGGTGCACTCAGACTGCCCGTCCGTCTAAGGTGTGAAATGCTGTACTCAACTCTACCCGAGTACCCAAATCATGATGAACGACCCTCCAGAACCGTGATGTGAACTGAGTACCTCTATCCGAAATGATGGAAACTGGAATACCATGCAGATGAACAATCTCCCGGATATAAATCTCCGCCAACCGCTCCGAAGAATAAGTAGTACACACAGGAATGAAATGAGCGGACTTGGTCAGCCGATCCACAATCACCCAAATAGCGTCGAACTTCCTCAAAGTCTGCGGAAGCCCAACTACAAAGTCCATGGTGATCAGCTCCCACTTCCACTCCGAAATCTCTATCTGCAGAAGCAACCTACCCGACCTTTGGTGCTCATACTTCACCTGCTGACAGTTGAGGCGCCGAGCTACAAACCCAACTATATCTTTCTTCATCCGCCTCCACCAATAGTGCTGTCTCAAATCCTGGTACATCTTCGCGGCACCCGGATGAATGGAGTACCGTGAACTGTGGGCCTCTTCTAGAATCAGCTCCCGAAGCCCATCAACATTGGGTACACAAACCCGACCCTGCATCCTCAATACTCCGTCCTCGCCAATGGTCACATCTCTAGCATCACGATGCTGAACCTTGTCCTTAAGGACAAGCAAATGAGGGTCATCATACTGCCGCTCCCTGATACAATCAAATAAGGAAGACCGAGAAACCATGCAAGCTAGAACCTGACTAGGCTCCGAAAGATCCAATCTCACAAATTGGCTGGCTAAGGCTTGAGCATCCATCGCCATAGGCCTCCCTGATACTGGTAGATAAGCCAAACTCCCTAAACTCTCCGCCCGGCGACTCAAAGCATCAGCCAACACATTGGCCTTGCCCGGGTGATATAGAATAGTGATATCATAGGCCTTCAGCAACTCTAACCACCTCCTCTGATGCAAATTTAGATCCTTTTGCTTGAACAGGTGCTGCAAGCTCCGATGGTCAGTATAAATCTCACAAGGCACACCGTATAGATAATGGCGCCAAATCTTCAGGGCGTGAACAATGGAAGCTAACTCAAGGTCATGGACAGGGTAATTCTTCTCATGTATCTTCAACTGTCTGGACGCGTAGGCAATCACCCTACCGTCCTGCATCAACACCGCTCTGAGGCCAACCCTCGAGGTATCACAATAGACCGTATAAGACCCCGAACCTGTAGGCAATATCAAAACTGGGGCCGTAGTCAAAGCTATCTTGAGCTTCTGAAAGCTCACCTCACAGTCTTCCGTCCACTGGAATGGAGCACCCTTCTGGGTCAGTCTAGTCATAGGGGCTGCAATCGATGAAAACCACTCCACAAAACGACGGTAGTAACCTGCCAAACCGAGAAAACTGGGGATCTCTGTAGCTGAGGATGGTCTGGGCCAACTCTGCACTGCCTCTACCTTCTTCGGATCCACCCGAATACCCTTACTCGATACCACGTGGCCTAAGAATGCCACGGAATCCAACCAAAACTCCCATTTTAAAAATTTTGCATATAACTTCTTTTCCCCCACAGTCTGAAGCACTGTCCTCAGGAGTTGCTCATGATCTTCCCGATTCCGGGAATATACCAGAATGTCATCAATAAAGCAATGACAAAAGAGTCAAGATATGGCCGGAATACACTGTGCATCAAATGCATAAAGGCTGCTGGGGCATTGATCAGCCCAAATGACATAACAAGGAACTCGTAATGACCATACCAAGTGCTGAAAGCAGTCTTCGGGATATCTGGCTCCCGAATCTTCAACTGATGGTAACCTGAGCGGAAGTCAATCTTAGAAAACACCCATGCGCCCTGAAGCTGGTCAAACAGATCATCAATACGAGGCAAAGGATAGCGGTTCTTCATTGTAACCTTGTTCAACTGGCAATAATCAATACACATACGCATAGAACCATCCTTTTTCTTCACAAACAAGACAGGAGCACCCAAGGTGATACACTAGGTCGAATAAAACCCTTATCAAGAAATTCCTGCAACTGATCCTTCAACTCCTTCAACTCAGGAGGAGCCATATGATACGGAGGAATAGAAATGGGCTGAGTGCCCGGCAACAAATCAATGCCAAAATCAATATCTCTATCAGGCGGCATGCCTGGAAGATCAGCTAGAAGCACATCGAAAAAGTCCCGTACTACTGGAACTGTATCAATTGAAGGGATGTCAATACTGACATCTCTCACATAGGCTAGATACGCGTCACACCCCTTCTCAACCAAACGCTGAGCTTTAAGGAAAGAAATAACTCTACTGGGAGTGTGATCTAAAGCACCCTTCCACTCAACACGCGACACACCTGGCATAGCCAACGTCATGGTCTTGGAGTGGACAATCAAGAATAGCATAATGGGGCGACAACCAGTCCATGCCCAAGATAATATCAAAGTCTACCATGCTGAGCAACAATAAATTGACTCTAGTCTCAAAACCACTAAGAGCAACCAAACACGATCGATAAACGCGGTCCACAACAAGAGAATCTCCTACAGGAGTAGAAACATAAATCGGGGAACTCAAAGAATCCCGAGATACACCCAAATGCGGAGCCAAAATAAGAAGACACATAAGAATAAGTGGATCCTGGATCGAATAGAACCGATGCATCTCTGTGACAAACCAGTATAATACCTGTGATGACAGAATACAACGGCCTCGGTACGGGCAGTAAGGGCATTGTATCGGGCCTGGCCTCCCCCTCTAGGGCGACCTCTACCTCCCCAACCTCCACCTCTAGCTGGCTGAGCAGGTGGGGTAGCAACTGGAGCTGTAACCATAGCCTGAGAACTCTGCGGTGTACGCTGTGGCTGAGAAGTCTGTGGAGGTGCACCCCTCCCAAGTCTGGGGCAATCCCTCACCATATGGCGTGTGTCACCACACTCAAAACAAGCTCTGGGTGGACGTGGTGGCTGTGACTGGCTCGGGCCAGGTCTGCTAGACTGACCTCTGAAAGCACCCCGCGCAGGAGGCGCGCTAGAAACTGGAGGTGCATAATAAGGCTCCTGAGGCCTAGGAGGAGCTGGAGCACTACTGGTTGCTGGAAGAGCTGAAAGAACAGGGCGACTCATGTAACCCCTACCATGACGGCCTACAGCTGGGGTACGGGCACCAGAATAATGGCCCGACTCTCAAGACCTCTTGGCCTCCCTCTCCTCTCTCTCCCTAGCATGCATACCCTCAATCCTCTTAGCAATGCTCACCACCTGCTGATAAGGAATCCATCTCCAACTCACGAGCCATGCTAGACCTGATGCTGGGAATAAGCCCCTCAATAAACCGGCGAACCCTCTTGCGAACAGTAGAAACCAAGGCTGGTGCATGCCTAGCCAAACTAGTATAACGGATAGCATTCTCTGAGACAGTCATAGCACCCTGGCGCAAATGCTCAAACTCGGCGCGCCATGC